CTGTCTATCCAGGACTCCGACGGAGAAGTCCACCCCGTGGCTTTTCTGTCCCAGACTTTTACCGGAGCAGAGCTCAACTACGACGTTCATGATAAAGAACTTCTGGCAATTTTTTCAGCTTTCAAAGTGTGGCGACACTACTTGGAAGGTTCAGGAGCTCCTATTGACGTTGTAACAGATCACAAAAACCTGGAATACTTTTCTACCACAAAACTTTTGACCCACCGGCAGGCCCGCTGGTCTGAATATCTATCTGCTTTCAACATGATTATCCGCTTTCGACCCGGCCATCTCGGCGGCAAACCCGACGCTTTAACTAGACGATGGGACGTCTACCCTAAAGAGGGGAGCAACGACTATGCCATGGTAAATCCGCACAACCTGAAACCTATTTTCACGAATCAACAACTTACCGCATCGGTCCGCGCAACTTTCCTCGTCAATCCCATTGTCCGTGGAATTATCATTATGGATATCGAGAAGTTACATCAAGATATTCTATCGGCAATTCCCCTAGATCCAATTACTAAAGCTCATCTAGACAATCCCATGGACCCCGATCAACCTCGGTGGTCTCTTGATCAGCATGGTTTCATTAGACTTGACGATAGGATCTATGTACTGGACTCCGATGGCCTCCGCCTAAGGATCCTTCAATACAAACATGATCATCCACTCTCAGGACACTTCGGGTACAACAAAACTCTATCATTAATAAGAAGAGAATACACTTGGCCCGGACTCCGTGGATTCGTTAAGCACTATTGTAAATCTTGCACTACTTGTCCCCGCTCGAAATCTCAGCGACACAAGCCATACGGCCTTTTGAAACAACTCCCGGTACCGGAACACCCGTGGAATTCTATCTCTATGGATTTCATTGAACACCTACCGGATTCCGAAGGCTTTTCTGCCATTCTAGTCGTTGTTGACAGATTCTCAAAACAAGGTATATTCATCCCTACATATGACACAATTACGTCCGTGCAGCTAGCGGAACTTTTCATTATCCACGTATTTTCCAAGCACGGAGTTCCGTCCCACATGACTTCCGATAGAGGATCAGAGTTCGTGTCTCACTTCTTTAGATCCCTCGGAAAATCCTTGGACATGACCTTACATTTCACGTCCGGACATCACCCGGAAGGCGACGGACAAACCGAACGCGTCAATCAGACATTGGAACAATACCTCCGCGTATATTGCAATTATCAACAGGACAATTGGAAATCCTTGTTACCACTTGCAGAGTTTGCTTACAACAATGCTCCTTCGGCCACTACTGGCGTTTCCCCGTTCTTTGCAAATAAAGGATATAATCCAAATATTACAGTACATCCAGAACGAAATCTCGCCTCTGCTCGCGCTCAAGAGTTCACCACGGACCTCCACGAGGAACTCCGGACTGCAATCAAGTCCGCCCAAGAGCAATATCAACATTCAGCGGACAGACACCGGATCCCGCCACCCAATTTCAAGATAGGTGACCGTGTCTATGTCAAAGCTCAATTCTTTAGGACAACCCGTCCATCAAAAAAGCTTGCTGAAAAATATTTAGGTCCGTTTGAAATTATCGCACAAGTAGGTTCAGTTTCTTGGACTCTACGGCTTCCGGATAGCATGTGCGCGGTACACCCAGTATTTCATGTTTCTATGTTAGAACCTTGTACTGCTAACACTATCCCGGATCGCGTGCAATCCCCGCCTCCTCCTGTCGTCATTGACGGAGAACCCGAGTTTGAAATCTCTCAGATTTTAGATTCAAAAATTGACAAGCGTCGACGCACTTGTAAACTGCTTTACTTGGTCAAGTGGGCGGGTTACGAGGGCACCGATGAAGAGACTTCATGGATTTTGGCCACGGAACTCGGTAATGCCACGGAAATCGTTACTGACTTTCATACAGCTTACCCACTCAAACCTGGACCATTATCGTCTCCCTGACCGCACTCCACGGACCCCGTGTTACGTTTGGACTCATTAACATTTTTCCCTGTCGCCCTATGTCTCTCTTTGCTTTTACAGGTTCTGACATGTCTTTTTCAAGTCTTTAAGTGGAATTCCCACGGACTTTGACTTTGACTTTTATTTTTATGTTTTTCACGCTTTACTTTTAATTTCAATTATTTTTTATTTCTATATTACTTTTCAGTCTACATTTATGGGACTGTCCTTTTTCCCCGCCTCCTGTTTTACCGCCTCAGCCATCTCCCCAGGAAGCTCCGCGATCTCCGTGGCAACCCCTTCCTCATCCGACCCGGCATCCTCGGAACTTCCATTCTGCGGCTCCTCATACACATAGCCGCCATACTCCGCCAGGAATTTCCAAAACTCCCCGCGGAGTCCGGACAGCTCCTTCGCCACCCTCACTTGGACTCTGTTGCTCTTTTGGAGCAACACATTTTGGGCCTCGATGCCCTCAGCGATCCGCCCGAGGACCTCGTCCAACCCGGAAAACCCGTCCGTCCCGCTAATGTCCCGCACCCCGGACCCCGTGGCTTGCTCATGCACAAGCGAACACCTCGCCTTGAGGTGCGCGCATTGATAGCAGCCCGGCCCCTGGCCGGACTTCCTGTTACACTCCGTGTTCCGGTCACTACAACCGGAGCACCGCGGCTCGTTCCACGTCGGCAGTCGGACTGGTGCCGCCTTCCTTGCCCTCTGTTGATATGATCAGTTCTTATCGGTTATCCCACGGACATGAGACTTACCTTTTGGGGGCTCTCCGGCTCCCCCTCGGACTCCGACTCCACCTCTGTCACTTTGCACTGAAAATCACTAGTCAGTAAAAAGCTTGACAAGTTGAACATTGGGACTTACCTTTCCCGCAACAACGGCGGCCCTCTCCGCGGCCACCCGGGCCTTCTCTGCAGCCACCCGGGCGTTCTCCGCAGCCATCCGTGCAGCCTCCTCCACCTCACGTTCCCTCACGGCCTCTTCCTCCGCGGCCAATGCTTCCTGGTACTCCTTATCCAGGGCCTCCTCGGCCTCCCTCGCCTCTCTCTCTGCCGCTTCGTGCAGTTGGCGCTGCTCTTCTCGCCGCGCCAACAACTGGGCTGCACTCCATGGCGCCCGATACGGAGTGCCCGTGGAGGGCCCTGCTGTCGGCATTGGTTTGCGTGGTGTGGGTTTTGGTCCCATGATGACGATGATGGGGGTAATGAAGAAGAAGAAATATCTATTTTTCAAATTTTTATATAGGCTCGTCGCATTTGAACCTTACCTTCCAGATCACATGACTCTTTGACACATACGTGTAACCGACATGACTTTTGACACATGCGCGTAGCCGACAAGAACCTTATCTAGGTCTAGAGCCTCTTTGGGACTTCGGCATAAAGGGAGGATACTGTTACGACCCGGACAAATCCCACCGGACTCCGGGCACTAACCCGTACGCCCCCACGCGCCACAAGCACCAATCGTCTGTTTATAGGATTTCCCGCCCGGACTCCGTTATGCCAAGACTCATTACGTTTGACCTCATTACGACACATATCAGTAACCGGACTTCCCCCGGACTCCGTCTTTGTCTATGTCCGTCTTTGTCCCACACATCAGTCACCGGATCCCACTCAGAATCCCGTCACCGCTCTATTCGAGCCCCATTCCCGTTTTAGTCAAATGACCTGTCACGATTAGGACTCCGCTCCCGCTCCGTTTCCCATTATGGGTTATGCTTTGTCACGATTCGGACTCCGCTCCGTTCCGTTCCATTCCTAACACCAAATTTGGTGTTTACATTTCCCGTTTGTGTTTTGTTAGTTTCGTTTTCATTATTACCGGATTAGTATGTTCATTCACTCCATGGTCTATTTAAACTGGCAGATGTTGTACATACAATCCAGTCAGAAAATTAGTTTAGATTCCCCCCTTTAATCTATATATTTTCCCTACTCTAAATCACACCGCTCGCACTAGTCGGAGCCCACGGGCTCCGACGTATCTATCTCTCCCGACTATCTCGACTCACGACTCATGACCTCACGACCTACGACCTACGACCTACGAACCCCGCCCGGACTCCCCGGGATTCCCGTCCGCCTGTTCGAAATTGGACAACACGATCTAGCGAGGGCGCAGCCTATAAGCTGAAGCCAAGTCCTACCGGATATCCTGCGGGTTTCTCACGAGATCCGCCCTGTGTGTGTATCCTAACACTGAGCATCCATGACAAGTACCTTCCGAACTGGACACAGGAAAGAAAGCACATAATAGAAGCTTTTGTCATTTGATGAATCTATAGATGCAGTACATCAAAGAAGGTACTTCATTTAGAAATTTAAACTTTGTTTCCACATTTGTTAGAGTGGGGGGTGATCCTTGTTTTTTTGAGACATCCATACTACGTGTGACACTTTTCTACAATTCTTCCCCTTACACGTTATTTGGATACAAACTGAACGGCACTCAATTATGTCAGTCACACCACCCACATTGCGCTCTGTTTATGTCAACTGACATCTTATCTCTTCTCCCAGATTGGAGTTTCTGTCATTGTAGTTTTCTTGCATGGTCAACTTCCATGATTGCAGTTTACCATGAATAAATGCTGGCTGACACACTGGGTAGGTGACTTCAACTGAAGACACTGGACTGATGCCCTGAGTCCAAGTCAGCCAGCTTCAATAGAGGTGGCAAAATTTATAGAAAAAATCATAAATTAAACTTCGATAGCCACATTTAGCAGCGTTGTTATTTTGGAATGATCAGGGTCATTGAGCAATATATCCCATTGCAAATGGGAACATCCATCCAATGTGTTCAGAGTCAACTTCTACAAAATGTCACCTCAAGTGCAGTCTACAAAAGTATGACTGGGGAAAGTGCGGTTCGGATTCTCTAGTCACCCGCCTAGCCCCAGAAGCCTGTGGGCTTGATTTCGAGGTCAATGAATCGAAATCTTATGCGGAAGTGAATTGAAGATGCACATCAATCTTTCCTTGGCTGACATTCGCTCATAGATTGTTAGATTATGTAATACTAGCACTGTTTCCCAGGGTCAGATGGTGTAATGGGTAACACCCCTGCTATATACGCAGAAGCCCTGGGTTCAATCCCCAGTCTGGCCATTCATTTTCTACACTTTTAACATAGATGTGGATGGGGACGCACCCAAAAGTGTGGGAATTACATAAGCAGGGGTCAAATATTGACCTGAGCTGGATTTTCCACCATTTTCTTGCTGCATGAACATTGACAGATGACCCAGCAGGGAAACCTGCTACCTCGTAGCATGACCTACATCAGCTTAGGTGATCGTTGATCACGGGTTAAAGCCTGACAGAATTTCATTGCAGGCAAAGGTCGGCATGAATTCATTATCTTATCACTCCCTTTGGACCAGGCTCAGTAGTAGACTCCTAAACAGTAACTCTGGAAGGATGAAATGGTAGGGGTAAGTGGTATCCCCTGATGAGAGCTTTCGTTGGCTCGAAACCGTTACATTCTGTTTCTCCTAGCCACCCTCTACTCTAGCTGACAAAGTTCAATCTTCAGAGACAACTGATTGCAGTGATTGATAAGGTGGTGGTCTGCCTAGCGGCGCTCTGGTGGACACTGGTGACCATGCATTGCTTCACCTTGCTAATGAACCAGCAACCCCTAAGTTTGGATTACATGTTTAATGCTCTTAACCCCTGAGCTATCAGGCCATTAAGAGTAGTTCTATTAAGAACCAGTTACTCTGAGATGATTAGTCATCAGTAAGATATTAATATATCCAGGTCAACCATTACTGTCACAACTGTCACATGTCACGTATTGTCACAAACATTCAAAGGTAACTTTCGACAACTCTTCGACCTATTGAATTCAACTCGACAAACCGAACATTAATCGACACCATCGAATCTCTTTCGACATGTCTCATTTCGACGTCATATATGATTTCATAATTAGTTCATAACATAGTCATAGTGATACGACAAAAAGCATAAAAGGGCTACGAAAGGAGCGAGGGAAGTCAGTCGAAATATCTGTATATTAGTGATATTAGTAATCTACTTTGTCGTAACCTCTTCGACAAATACTTCCATGAGTCCTCGCGACTGGTATTAGCCTCTTACTTCATCGACAGGGTGAATATATACTTCGTCGAACGAGGCTTCCGAATTCGATTTGTAGAATATTATTCGACTTTATTGAAGAACATTCGATTCGTGACAATTACTCATTCAACAAAAAGGACCTTCTACCTTATATGATCATCCCAACACCTCGTTTGCATCATTGCTTGCTATCAATACGGAGTACTTCCTCGGCCCATGTACAATATCTAAATTTCCTATCACATCTGGCAAGGAGAGTAATAAGCGGAGTCCTGAAATTCCTTACCTGTTCAAAGTTTTTTCAATCGCCAAAGCCCTTCCATTATAGGCTCACCCCAATAAAAAACTCACCAAGAAACTTAAGATTACTAACCAGAAGGGTTTCGTAGATGCCAATCACAAACCAGAGATGGCACTGGCATTAGGAGACTTTCGAGGATTTGTCGGTTTCAAGCCTATCAAAGATATCCTGCAGGTTTGGGAGGCGACACCAGAACTCCGAGAGGCTTGTGGAATAGAGATAACGGCCAGGGATGCAGATCCTATCAAATCCGTCATATCCAGTTTGCTTCTCGTGTTGAAATAGTTGAATAACACTTTGCAGAACACCCCTGTGAGTGTGATTGGAAAGTAAACACTAAGGAGACTTTAAACTGTAAAGACTGTTAACTTTTGGGAATTTGGTAAACGAGCGGCAAGGACTCAGGGTATTAGTAAGCAGGTTACTAGGCTATATAAGGATGAGTCATGTATAGTAGTACTCATCCGTTTACAACGAGTTAACTGTTACCTACTCAGACAAACGGAAAGTTATATGGTCTAAGAACAGCACCACTGAAAACTTAACATAAACGGATCACGGCTAGCTACCGTTAACCAAAGCTAGGTGCTGTGCAGACCACCTTTGATCTCGTCGCTACAAATCGCCGTTCCGCGCACTGTCGTTCGTCGCGTGGACTTCATTCGTCGCATACCACCACTCATTCTTATCGTCATTCTCACACACCATACAAGGCCTTCTGCAATATCCTGGATCTCGAATACGCTTCCAATAACGCTGCGGTGATCTGGCTGACCGAGGTGCCGAAGATCCTAGAGCCGCTGAGCCTGAGGATGGCAACCCGACAGGTCAATCGTGAGCTGGAAAGACAAGGTGTCTTTGCCAGAGGGAATGCTATGACTGCTATGTCTTGGAGAGCTACTGTGCGTCAGGATGGAGTTGCTGTAAGAAGGATCAGACTGTGGGGAGAGTTGGACGGTATGTATTCTTCACTTGAGGGAGTGGGAATGGTCACTGCGAGCCCCTCACGCTCGAGGGAGTGCAATAGATTTGGGATAGCGAGGGATAGCGAGCATTAGGACTCGTGGCACAACATGCAGGGACTGCCACGTACGCAACAGCCAGGAGCTGCTGTCTACGTCACACGCATCACGGGTGGCTCCCGTTAACCACAGCTGAACTGCGAACATGCGAGACCTCAAATCGAGATGACTCGACGTACAAAGACCCGCGGGCAGTTCCGGGCATCGAAGAAAGTCCTCACCTTTTCGAGGCACCACCAATCACAACTACCGCCAATCTCGCAATCGACGACAGTTGCGATAGAGATGGATGCGAAAGTATGGCGCGCAGGAACACCCAGCGGATGACTGAGGTAGCGGCCGATCGCAGTCTCATCGTGAGCCAGAGGGACGGAAGAGCCCTACTGGAGGGAATGCTGACCCGGGTGATTAGCTAGATGGGCAAGGGAATGTTGGTGATGGGGTGACGAATTGGAAGAAGAAAATTAAGAATTTCACTTCGAGGCGCATCACAGGATGACGACAACTGGCGACTGACTTTCTCACCAGCGCACATACTCACACACGTTTCGGATCGTTTGCACCTCAACGCTGCATGATATATTTCTGAGCCTCTATGCTCGAGGGAGTGTATTGGAGTATTGTGAGCACTAGGGCTGGAGTCGCAAGGGTCAGGGACTGTCCACATCCACAATGGTCCAAAGCTGGCACGTAACCGCCATATATTGCCACGTATCAAGAAACCGACTGTCCTTTTTTTTCAACGTCGCACATTGTTTATCATTTATCACACATCACATTGGCACTAAGACACTAATTCACGCCTATATTCACACAGCGGCAACTCTTACGATCCGCGTTTATCATTGCCCACCCATTGGAAGAGCCAAATCGTGATTTTACTACTCGGCAGGTTTGTCCTGGATCACTGTCGAACATCGCTACTTGCCAATATCGCCTGCAATATCCGTGATAGGATTTGCGATTGGATTGGGAGTGGGAGTCGAAGTGATGGACAACTGTGTGGGAGTACTCGGGGTTCAAGGAGCGCATTTGAGAGGGACTTAGAGGTTGTTGCAGTTGTCTCAGGGAGTTCAGGCAGATGAATTTAGGGAACTTAGGTTTCAGGGAGTGCTATGGTTACTGTGAGTCCCTTTTGCTCGAGGGAGTGTGTTAACTTTTGGGAATTTGGTAAACGAGCGGCAAGGACTCAGGGTATTAGTAAGCAGGTTACTAGGCTATATAAGGATGAGTCATGTATAGTAGTACTCATCCGTTTACAACGAGTTAACTGTTACCTACTCAGACAAACGGAAAGTTATACGGTCTAAGAACAGCACCACTGAAAACTTAACAAAGACATACCTGTGAGTGTGATTGGAAAGTAAACACTAAGGAGACTTTCCCACACCCACAGTGGACTATACTACTAGGTACTTATCTAAGCACCTATACAGGAGGTACCGACCTAAGGTAACTCACTCAATACTGCACCTATGTACAGTGCTGGGAAAAATACTACAAATATCAGAAAAATATAGAGATCATAATAGACTATGTTAGAGCTGTAGTATCATACTCTAACACTCTTACCTGATGAGACAGCTCTATGCTAGTCCCAATAGTTTTCTCAAATATTCCACCTTTGGCTTAGCCAATGGTTTGGTTAATAAATCTGCAGGCATCTCTGAAGTAGGTAGATGAACCACTTTAATCTTCCCACTATCAACTTCCTGCCTTAACCAATATGTCCTCAAATCAAGATGCTTCATTCGACCATGGTGTTCAGGATCTCTGGCAACTGCCATAGCAGATTCAATCGGTTGTCAAGGTACAATGTGGATGCAGTCTTTTGAGGATATCCCAATTCCTCAAACAAGTTCCGCAACCATAATACCTCTGCACCTGCTGATACTGCTGCAATATACTCTGCTTCATTAGTAGAGAGAGTAACAATAGTTTGCAGTTTACTCTGCCAGCTAATGGCTCCAGTACCCATTTTAACCACATACGCACCAGTAGATTTTCCAGTAGATTTATCACCTCTATGATCAGCATCTGAATAGGACACAAATAGTTCCTTGTCATTACTAGGGCCATAGGTCAAACCCAAGTCAAGGGTGCCTTTGAGGTAGCGGAAAAGATGTTTTACTGCTAGCCAATGAGCCTTTCCTGGATTGTGATTGAATCTAGCCAATACACCAACAGTGTAAGCAATGTCTGGATGAGTGGCAACAGCTAAATACATAAGAGACCCAACAGCATGGATGTATGGAATGTCCTTCATATATGCAATCTCCTCAGGGGACACTGGAGCCTGGTCTTTACTCAATTTCAAGTTAGGCACCATAGGTGTACTAATTGGATTGCAATCAGCAAGACCATAACGCTGTAACATGTCCAAAATGTATTGCCGCTGTGATAGAGTAATGGTTCTCTTCTTCCTGTCCCGTTCAATGCCAACACCCAATAAGTAAGTAATTGGACCAAGATCATGCAATTTGAAGTGGCTCTTTAGATCATCTTTGAGCTTCTTGATAGCCTCCTTGGACTTAGATGCAATAGTCATGTCATCTACAAATACTGGTATAATGACTTTGACATCACCCTTTTGGAAGACCCAAATACTATGATCACATAGTACCTGTTTGAAACCCAAGCTGAGCAAGACAGCATTCAACTTCTTGTGCCAGATACATGGTGATTGACGTAAACCATAA